ATTTAACATATTGGTATGATTAGTATCGTACCTATACATAATCAATCATACCTTACCTATCGAATCCTATCATACCGTACTAATATATTATACACTCTCAGTACGATTATTCAAATTATGATCGTACCGTACTGATTCTATAATATTGTTAAGTCCAGTACGGTACGATCATATTTTATAAAATTACCGTACTGATTAGACGAATCGTACTGATTTTCCTCCTACAATCACTTGATTTTATTTTTATTAAGGTATTTTATTTTATTTATTTTTTTTTTTAGAAAAAAAATTTTATTTTTATTGAGTACGCTTTTGACGATCCCAATAATAATGCAAAATCGCTATTAATATTATTGAGATCATAACAGGGTATATAGAAACCAGGGAGGAGGAAGTGAGAAGGAAAACCGGTACGGTACGATTATAGAAAGTATCGTACCGTACCGTACCGGTTTCAATAATATTATAGAACAAAGTACGGTACGATTATAATTTGGAGGATCGTACAGTACTGATCAGCCGAACCGTATCGTACCGGTTTTCCTCCTCCCTGGATTCTACCTCTCCTCTAATCAGTAAGTTTTATCTTTTCAGTGGAACTTTTGATAGAGTTCGAAAGCTTTTTTTCTTGTATTTTATCTAAATAGAATGTAAAAGGACACATATTATAACCATGGATAACTTCTCCTTACGGATCAGAAAATCAATGGGACCATTTTCAGTAGAGTTCTGTATTCGGGATAATTAAAGCATAGAGTTAAAAAATGTCTTTGCATAAGGATGATTTTTGTTATAATCAAATAAGAAGTAGAGGAATAAATAAGGAACCTTCTTTCAAACAAGAAAAGAAAACTGCATCAAAATCGAAAATAAAAAAAATAACTTAGTAATAAAATTGAAACCAAATACCTCGTATTTTCCCTAAAATGATCGCTTGATATAAATAATTAACGTAGTGAATTAGATATGAACGATAATAAAAGCAATCCATTTGAATATTTCTTATTGTTCAGGTTAGTTGATTTATAGCCCGAAGATATAGATGAGCGTGATAATTTATTAACACGAACGCGATGTTTAAATTTCATTTTTTATTATACTTAGATAGCTTTTTCTTATTGTTTTATATATATCTAGGCTAAAATAGAAACATAAATGATCGAGCATCGATTCATTATATGAATAAGAAATTGGCCAATAGGATTCAACCTAAATCTATACATTCGTTAACATTACACTCTCTCATCACGAGATAAGCAATTGGTGGACTTGTGTCAACTCATGATTCGCAAATTAGAGCACTAATTACATATTTTTAAAATGTATTGTGTTTACGAACGAGCTGATCCTTTCTGGCCAGTAAAACACAAATTTTCGACATTGTACATACAACCTAACAAGCTTCAGTAATCTCATTAACTTTCTGAAAAAGTCACAAACAACGTTTCTAATAGTAGACTTCCTGAGATTGAGGTAATTATAGTGCTTTGACTATCTTCTTCAACATGGGGTTCTCACTATTTTTGTGTGATTTTCTTTGAACGTTTTTTGAAAATTTAGTATATGGTTTTGTTAATGGATTCCATAAATAACCAACTATTAATATTAATTAATAGAGAATGAGATAATAAATTTACAATGTAAGAAAGATAATTTTATTAAATTGCGAGCGAATTTATAAAAACCATATGGGTGGTATGCTATTATAATTGAAGTACGAGACATAGTAAATCATATGATACGTACCTCATTTTTAATAGCACACCATCCATATTATGAAAAATGTAAAAAAATAAAAAAAAAATGTCGTGTTCTATTTTTTTAATAATAAATGAAAAAAATTTACATTTCATTAAATTGAAAATTGAAGAGTGAAGGTGAAATTAAGCTTTGACTATCACCTTTATCGGTCGAATCGATTTATTCAAGGTCAAAAAATTTATTACTAAAGAAAATAATTAATAAAACGCAAGTGTCCTCGGAATATAACTGCGCCCAAAATTGGCCTTTGACGACCGACCAATTTGCTGTCATTTCTGACATACTTACTGTATCTGTTGGAATTGACATTTCGGACCTTTACGAAAGTTCGAACTCCTCGAGATGATGGAATGTATATGTAAAAATGACCATTTTTGACATAACGAAACGATTAATAAGTATTTCCGTCAACCAAGCCGCAAGAATAAGTAATCCTGCAAAGAATTCTATAGCCAAGACATGGGAAGGAAATTTATTATAAAAAGAGAGGCTTTCGTCTTAGATTTTAGAATTAGAATTAGATAGTTTTCTTTTCTCTTTGGGCCTATTACAGAACGGCGGTACGGTAGAGGCAGTAATAGTTGCATTTGTTTTGTTATATTATTTTCGCATATATATTTAATAAATTTGTTTCCATTTATTTCCTTTAATAAAAACTTTATTTGTTTATCTACATTACAATTCGCTCTAATACATTGTGTTCTATAAAATATATAATAAACATAACATCGCCTCTTACAAATTTAGGAGGTGACATTTCTAATATAATAAGGAAATAATTTTCATCCGACATGTGGATAGAATTGTTTTACAAATTTTCTCTATTCTTCTCTCTCAATTTTACATTTTAAAAGAAATCCATCTATTAAATAACGACCGCACAATTTATTCCCAAATTAAGTAACAATTATGTTGAAAAAGTTAGATGATTATAACGAACGAGGTTTGATTGATTCAGACCCAATAAATTCCCCTGGTGACACGTAACGGAATAACTAAGCTTGAGGATTAAACTATATGACATATTTATTTTTAAAATTATTCAACAGCATCATCATCATATTTGAAACTTCTAAAAAATAACTTAATCCTATTTAATAAAAATTATTAAAAACTTATATATTAATGTCTTAGATTTTGCTTGATTTCTTGCGAATATCATTTATAAAATTTTCCAATACATCATAAAATGGTCATTTCGATCATTTCGATCATTTTAATTTTTTTTTTTTGAAAAAGTCAATACAAGAAATCTTGAGAATAATACTGGTAAACTAATATCTTTGGTTGTGGAAGTAAAAATTAGATAGATTCACATGTTAGTGACGATTTACGCAATTTTATTATTAAATATATAATAATATTTTTTTTTAGGATGTGATTGCTTTTACTATTAAAAGAAACATTGTATAATGTAGATTTTTATAAGTTGAAAGAAATAAAGTCACAAAACTTTGTATTTTCATAATTTTTTTAATTCTTTGAATTATAGGCAGTTTCAAATTTATAAGCGGCGATAAGAGCAAAAATTTGCTTCTGAGTCTATGAAAAACAGAAATACACGTGTAATAGGCTTCGGAAATAAAGTGTTGGCTTACGGATATGCATCTTGCGACATGACCGGTAGTGCAGAAGCAATTTCGTTAATTGACATATTCAGATCATGATAATCGAAATGAAAAATTATTATTTTGTTATCAACCTATTGAAAATTTTTATTAATGATTATTTTTTTTCTTGGTTTTGTTTATGAAGTTTAGCGGGATTTTTTTAATATTTTTATTAATTATTTTAGGCATGTTGTCTTTTATTACTTAGATAATGACTACTAAACATTAGCAGGTAATCGTAAAATAATACTAATTGAAGACCCAAATTTTAATTAGCTTCAAGTTTAGTGAATAAATTCAAATCATGAATTATGATAATTATCAATCAATAATAAACTTAAGGATGTTATCAACGTATATAGCGTTTTAAATTTATGATTTCGTTAAGCATCCTAAATTTTATAAATTTCAAATCATATCACATGGTTTATAACGAGTTTACAAGTGTAAAAAATTATTCCTTTTATAAATCATTGATGATTTATAGCTCAAAAATTGAATTATTTAACACACTTTTTAATTTTAATTTTTATGTTAAATTCTCAATATATATCTATAAGCATAGCATAGGCATAGGAATTGCCTATCATCCTCTGATGATGCTAAAAAGTGAACGAGTGGCAGAATCACCACCTCTCTTAATTTTTCTTGAACTTATTTTATCTATGGGTCTTACACTGAGTTCTGAATCATCTTCAACAAAATCAACTCCTTCAGTATCAGTGCTATCCTCGCATGTCGCTTCAAATTCTTTTTTCATTTCATCATAACCGCCAAAAATATTCTTTTCAAGTTGTTCATCCAATTTATGTTCTTCGAAGTAGGTTAAGTAATTATTTGCAATTTTAGTCCAACATTCACCGCAATTCAAATCTTTTGGAATTTCTTTCGCAGTTCCATTGTGGAGGAAAATGCTTTTTCCATCAAGAGAAATACTAACATTTGTATCGCCGTTAATTTCTTTCTTGATGTATTCGACATAATTATCAATGATTTTGTAGTAACAATATTCTATCAAATGAAAATATACAATACAAAAATTTGTAAACTTTTCGATGAAATAAATTATTATAAAAGTGATTTCACGTACCTCCTTGATCATTCAAGAGACAAATCGATTCATGAGTGGGAATACCACCGTAATACGCGATGAATGTATCATAAGCTAACAACGTGTTAACATCAATGGTTTTAGGGTCGACAGTTAAATCCAAAGGAACAGAAAATTCGTTAGCACAATCCGTTTTGATTTTTTCCATAGCTTGATCAACTTCTGTTTGATTACAATTGTACTCCAACGCGCAATATTTGTCCAATGACGTCTTAAACGGGGTGTGGTATCGTAAGTTGAAAAATTGAGCAAATTAGATGCATTATAACCTGCATTTTCATATTCTTTAAAGAGGAAGTTACCATAGACAATTTTCGTTGGACATTGAGATGGTGGTGTATCGCCCGTATAAAGGGACAAGCCGCCTTGATCATATAACGATTTTTGACAGGTGTTGCATTTCTCGGTTGCATTAAAAACTTCTTCACAAGTTATTTGAGCTGATAAACTATCAAAAAATTTTATTAATTCCCTCTTTTTTTTTGTTCGTTGGAAACGAATGAATGATCCTCACCTATTTTTTCGCGTCGTTAAATATATTTTCAAAAGATACGGAAATGTTCCATAACATAGCCCAATTTCGTTACAAAGAATCCTACAAACAAATATCATTCCGACCTACAAGCCAAACAATATAAGCTCATCATATTACATAGCCCTAATGCTTTGGGGCTTTATTTCAACTTTAATGATCATTTATTGAAAGTTTTCCAAGAAACTTGCTGCGACCGATTACCATTTACACGATCCATTTTCATTATCATAAAGACATTATTTGTTTATTTAGAGGCTTTAATCACTTTAAAAATTGAAATACTTGATTTCGTCGAGTTGTCTTTATTATTGAATTTATTATCCATTTCTTTTACAAGTTTAAACGCTCGCAATTCATCTAAAATCTTTCGCAAAAGGAAAGAACCTTCATTTGGTACAACCAATTCATTTTCATAATCATCACTTGTTACATAACCCTATTAAGAAACAAATGATATTTTTTGATTAAAAAATGAAATTTCAATATATAAGGAAGAAGAAATTACCACTTGATGTGAAGAAGCTAAAGCATCAGCATTTTGATTATCACAAGAAATTTTTTCGCAGGTGTCATCACAAGAAAGGTTTTCGCGGGTATCATCATGATAAGGATTGTTTTCGCGAATGACATCATAAGCTTTTGCACGTATCATGAGCGTCATCATAAAGATAATTTTCATAGTTTACGTAGTGTCATAAATTAGCATAATAAGAAAAATATTTGCCGGGGGTCGGGTATCATAATAAGGTGGATTTTGTGGGTATTATCATAAAGGTAGATTTTCTTGAATGTCATCATAGAGAATATGATCATGGGCGTTATCATAAGATAGATTTTGGCAGGTGTTATCTTTATCAAAAAAAAAATATACACATTAGAAAATAAAATTTTATAATGAAAAAAGAAGAGAAAATAAAGTGATATAGACGCAATACACAAAATGTAACGATTAGGTGAACAAATGATAAAATCAAAGTGTGAAATAGAAAATTATTTATTTTCGGATAATAAAGCATGGGTTCAAACAACCCTTGAAATTATCAAATTTATCTTGTGATTTACAACATTGGTTCAAACACCCTGTGTAAGCTTTGAAATTTTCAAACAAAAATCCAAGAATGAATGCTTGCGTTGCAGATCACATGAATTTAATATAAATAATGATACAACTTCTGAGATATTTATCATGCATTAATAACTTAATATTCCTTGCATGCGGAAGAAATTTGTTTTTTGTACGTTAATTTGTATTTGCGTTCAAATCAATGAAATTTAGTTTTAAAAGAATTTTGTCGATCATAACCAGCGAATTTCAAAAATATAATGCTATTCAGAATAACATTGGAGTCTTGAAAAGTTTCATCACTTCCTTCCAGATATTGTCAATTCTTCATCTTACCCTTAAATAAAAAAAATTTAGAGCAAATGTTTCAGAGATCTATTTAGATCAACATGTCATTTAGAGAGAAATTAAATGCTTTTATTACTAAAATGTTAATCAATTTATTTTTTCAAACCACTTTCATAATTTAAAGACAACGATTTCAATCGTTTCTGATCCATATACAAAAGATCAAGTACTGTATAATCAAAGAAATGTTCCCAATCAAAATAATCAAATTTTGGACTTCATGCTTATTTTATTGGTTAAGTACTTACTTTATATCACAATAAAAAAAATACTAAAGTTTTACGGAGTGTAGTGTAAATTTCCAAAAAATATTATTCAACCTTATCTCCCGCTTTTTGAAAATACGACCGTTACATTAAAATTAATAAAATTATCTCTGATGTAACACGTTACGCCTTGGAATTGATAAAGATGATAGAGAACCGATCTTTAGTAAAGTGCGGATTTTGTCCCATACTGGAAGTCTGTCTAATATGCTGACGAAATAATTACGAAACAACGACAGACCTGGACCATTTAAGGTTTTGGTTCGTCTTGAAATTGTTAACGAAATTTTGGCTTATTCCAATTGCACCGTTGATAAATAAAAATATCGAGATGGTGCTATCACAGTATTATCTCGAAAGTCGTTTTGCTAATTCATACAATACTTTGTATTAGTCAAAAACCATTTTTTAAAATCCGGTGGGGATAGTGTCATTATATTCAATTCTAAATAAATATTATAAATGACGTTGCCGTGGATGGGGGGCTGTTATGCGCAGTTCTTTAGTTTTATGGGTTGTAAACAAAGCAAAGGTAAGCAGTAGGCTTTGTGTTTTAATTGAATTTATTAATAATAACGAGAATCCTAATCTAATACAACGTAGGTAAAGTATTGACTCAACGTCGGCGCTCTATACGATCAGATAATAAAATGGTTAGATACATTTAAATCTCAAAATCTCTTGACCCCCATATGTAGCTTCCATGTTAAATTTGATCATTACAAAATATGTTAGATCAAAAAAATAAAATTCTTCGATGAATCATCTGAATTCATTAATTTTTAATTCAAACCGAGTTTTGATTGCCAATTAGGTTCTCAATCACCTCTCTCAATGTGATTGGCTAGTGATTTAGATGATTTACAATTGAAATATTCATTTCATTATAAAATACCAAAATAGCTCGCCGGCTCCTTTTAATTCATTACAACTATAACAATAATATTGTGCTACACCAATCATAAAAAGTAGCGTTGTGATCAATTTACGATGGTGATGGTCCCGTTGAAGATTAAGCGATCTCTTTTTATTTTCCATTGCAATAAAAATCTTTTAACCAATCAGCGCTTTATAAACCATTGAGGGAATCGCTTTAGTCATTATAATAATTATATTCTTGTATAAAAATTCTTCTACTTGGAGTACGAAGTCCCCCAGGAAAAAAAATAATTTCAAAAAATAAAAAATCTACAATCGTCACAGTACGAAACAATTGAAAAAAAAGAATATAATACCCAACCCGACTCAAAAAAGCTAAAGGGTTAAAAAAAAATTTGATTGTTAAAATTTGTAAAATTAATTATTGAAGATGAGATGCTTACTTGAACATTAAAATATCCGTAATAGGTTCCTTCTTACATATACTGCATTATCTTGTAATTTTTATAAAACATAATGTTTATTTCTCGAATAAATCTATCTATAAAACAACTTTTTGTGTATTTTAACTATTCTATTAAGCAGTGCAGTTTCTTCGTTGTATATGCCATTTTGCTAATAAAAGCTCACACCAAGATTGTCTTCACCTGGCTTCGATTAAATTGTTTCTATCTTAACCTAAGTTTACTGGTATGTATTTTTCATACTGTAAGTCTATTGTTCGATTCGCTGTATACATTTCTTGATGAAGTTTTCCTTTCGGTTTCATTTTTTTGCATTATAAAACGAATGAATGATTTCATATATAAAATTATTTTTCATTGATTAGTGCTTCTTCTTTTAGAATTAAGGAAAATGCTTCGTTGAAGTTCACGTTCTTTATGATAAATTTTGTAACTTCAATTGTTTATTAACATGTAAAAAGTCATACTTAAAAAATAAATTCGTAATCTTCATATTACAGTATATGCCAATTTCACATTTTTCTTCTTTTAATCTTTTTTTCTACTCTTCAAAAAAAAATGAACCTTCATTCGTGTTTCGAGAAGTCGTAATAACTTTCGTTTATGTCGTATCTAGATAGGAGAAATTATCAAATATTTACTGAATATTCATAAAACATTGGACCAAAGAATAAATATTACTAATGATTTCTCAATTAACGATAAAGAATTCTCAATGCATAAAATAAATCACCCTACCGTATATATTGAATTTTTTTTTTGTTGTTTTATGAAAAATATATGAGACGCCAGTAGAAGGAGAACATGAAGTAGTGTGTTGGATTGTATAATATTCTCTGTTTCAGATCTTTCGGACCTGTAGAATAAAAGGAAAAATGAAGTTAGAGGAAAGTATTGGAAAGGGAAAGAATTGTATAATAAAAATAAAGGCCAATAATGTCAACAATGGCGTATTCAAAGGTCACAGCCTAGACATTGTTAAAGGAAATAATAATAATAATAAAGATACTTCCCATGAATAGTTGCTAAATTACAAGTATCCGCCATTAAAGAGTTGATCGATATATGTACTCTCGTTACCATTGTTAAACTTAAACGGTTCGTCGTTAAGTTAACTTAAATTATTTGCTAACAGGGAGTTTAAGTTCGTCTAAACTATG